TATAAAAAATTATAATTTTAAAAATTATATATATAATGTCGGGTTGATTTGATCTCGAATTGACATTTTTTTTAGATAAAACCAAACCAATCAAGTATAGTTGTGCAATGGACCGAAAACCACAATTGACATTGAAAACTACCAATATCTCTTTTTTAAGTTTAAATCTGGACTCATGGTCCATTTTATTTAATAAAAAATGGGCTCCTAAACGGATCCACACATAAATATACCAAAAAAGAGATGGTCGGCCCAAAAGTGGTCAGACCAGGTGAATATAAAAGAACCCTAAATGATAGGGTTTTATGATTTGTGCTCTCCGCCTCTTCTTCTCCATGTTCTCATCGCCTCTGCGGCGATGTTCTCTCTTGTGCTCCCCAATTGTAGCTTCTTCCCCCTTTGGTTATGGGGATTAACATTCCCCACCTTGATGTTGTTGCTATTGTTGTTGCTGTTGAGATCAGCTTTTAAAAGTTCAGTTTTTTAGCCATCTGGCTTCTTCATTGTTTCGTTTTTCAACTGACTCTGCTTTTTGTTTGAAGGTGTACTACAAATTATTAATTATTGGGAAAAATGGTGGAGATGGAATAAAATTGATGTTGAGATTTTATATGCAAAATTCAACTAATTCAGGATTGAGGTATTATTGTAGTTGTTGTCCACTTTTCCCAAGCTTCAAGACCTCTGCCAAAACTCTATCAACTGAAATTCAGACATTCAACTACCACTCAAACAATACTCTCTCCTAATCTTCAGATGCTATTCTGCATTATTAGTTCGAGCCTTCTGATTCTCCAACTGGTCAAAGAGATCAAGAACAATAATATTATGAGTCTCACTCAACATAAATCTTCCCGTTACCAAGTCTGGGCTTCTAATTATATCTCTAATATATCTAAACTTCTAGTAAGGTGATTCATTGAAATTTGTGAAAGTCGATTTAGTAGTTGAATCCTTTTAACCAGCATCAACAAGAGAAACATAAGAGGCTGAGTCTAACAACTCTTCATCACCTTCTACCAAATGGGTCCTCATGTAGGTTTTCAATACATCATTTTGTGTGATCCATCAGACAAATGATACTTGATCCCTTAATCATAAGTTTCATCAATCAAGATTTAATTAATATTTTTTTAAGGAAAAAATGGAAGTATACTGATATCATCACAATCTGAAATGGCAGAGAAAAAAGGAATGAAACTAAATATTAGTATTATTACCATCAGTAGTTAAACTTCTATACATTTCTAAAGAGTTGTAACCAGTGCTTTCAAAAACGTTTTTTGGGTGAGTCTCAGGGAGGATCGTACCAAAAAACTACGGGCGCAAATTGATAAGTCCTAGAATTTGGGGACTAAGCACTAAGCATAAAATCATAAGTTCTGGGCGTAAAAACGTATGCCTGAGTGTTCTTAATTGTTATTTTTTTATCTTTTTTTTTGCTTTAAATCATCCTTTTTATTATTAGTGTAGTGATATTTCTCAAATAGTAATTATAATACTATATTCTTCATTATTGCTTATTAATATCTATCTCAAATAAAAATCATAATAATTTTTCTATATATTATAGGTTTTTTATAAAAATTTACTTGTAAAATCATTGAAAGTTTAATTTTACTTTTGCTTATTTTCGTAGTAATAAAATTATAAATTGAATTACATGAGACTATTCCCGGTAGATCCATGGGACTTACTCCCTATGTCTCGGGGATTACGTCTCGCCATGTACTACATAAAACGTCTCGCCTCATGCCCCCGCCCTGTCACTCTCCGAGCCTACACCATGGACGTGGCCGGCAACTCGGAGACCATTGTTGGCCCCAAGCGAACCCTTGGTCTGGCTTACATACTCAGCGAAAGATAATATTAATATCTATAATGATAAATGAACTTAACTGAACTGAATAACAAAATAACTGAAAATGTTTTAAAGATTAAACATTCAACTTGGCCAAAAGTGGTAACCCAAGTCTTAACAATAAGAAAAGATAATGAAAAGACTCAAGGACTAACATTTGACTGTCTATGAAGTCTCTAATAACAACTAAGATGGATGTTTGGGACAGACCCCACAACATCCTAATAAACTAAACTAGAAAGCAATGAAATGGATCCTCCGGAAAGCAAGGAAGCTCACCAACAGACTCTGAACTGCTCACTGGATCAACAATGCATCGGAATGCCGATCCTAGTTACCTGTGTCTGCATCATAATAAGATGCAGGCCAACTGACATCAGTACATTGAATGTACAAGTATGCGAGTTGGAAAGCTAAAACAACATAGGCTTGAGAGGGAAATCTGTAAGAAACACTTACCTTGGCTCTTTTCAACTCATGAATACTTACTGAACTCATTTCAATATAAAGCAGTTTAAACAAGTGCAATATAATGAAAAGTTGTTTAAAAACATGATGTCAACTTTGTGTATATACAAGGATACAACATAACTCTGAAATGTATGTAAGAATACAATAAACTAATGTATATAAAAATACAATAACTTATGTGGGAGTTTCTCTAACCGACAACCATCACATAAGAGATATAGTGATGATACAGCGTTCTACCTCACGCTGTCAGCGCATCCTATACCCGGCCAAAGGTATAGAACCTGAACTGCCTAATGGATCCACTAGTCTATTGCGAAAAGGATTCATCTAAAAAGTATGACCCTTTTCTACACATGATGGCTACATGGTTCTATGGTGACGTGAGTTATCTAAACTCATGCTCGTCCCCAATTCGGTGCTCAATATTACTTCCAAAATATACTGGCTCTTATGTTTTTAAAAAAAAATACTTCTTCTGTGATTTGAGATTAGTGCTCAAAAACTTAGCTCAAAGGCTATCTTGGAAAAAAAAATTCCCCTCTTGCTTCATTTAGAAAGCAATTTCTTTTTCTGAAAACTAGCTCGAAGGCTCTTTGGAAATCTCAGTTTCCATTCTTATTTAAATGTGAAAACAATTTAAATCTCTTTAATTTGGGAATACTTAGTCCCCATATACTTTTGAAGAAATGAACTTCAAACTTTACTCTTTACTCTTTACTCAACTTGCACTTTAAGTCTTAAAACATTTGGAAAAGACTCTTGGAAAACTCTAGGAACTTATCTTGACTTGACTCTTACTTCTCTTGACTTTGATCTTAAATTTCCTTGAATTGGATTATGGATTTCAAGGTTCATTATCTGATGTTTATGGATGATTTCATGATGTTTAGATGTACCTTAGAGTGTTAGAATCAACTAGGAAATATAGGTACATCACTTTGGAACTAGTACGGAAAAGTGCGGGAAGAATGGGGTAAACTGGCGTCCTTGGCGCTCTGAGAGGCGTGGGGCGCCAGAGCACAAACTTCAGAAGCTGAAGTTGTGGCGCGTCGCCCCAGAGGCCAAACTTCAGACTCTGAAGTGGGGCGCTCTGAGAGGCGCGGCGCCCCAACCCCTTGCCCAGACAACTCCCGACTTTTCTCCTTCGTTTTTCATCTCTAAACCCTCTAAACTTCTATGGTTCTTTCCCCAAACACTTAGGATCATTAGTGCCCTCAATACCCAATAGATTTAACTTGAAAAACAACCCGGAAACACGAATCAATCAACACTGGCATTCAACAATCACCAACAAGAATTCAAAAATGTTCTTCAAGAACTTCACTTCTTAACATGTAAAACAACTCCAAATCACTGAATTGAAACAAATTGGTGTGTGGGTGAACTAACCCATCACTAAAAGATCTCACATACCTTAATAGAGATCACCCCCGACAAATTCCACTTCAAACGGTTGACGTTCTTGGCGAAATCTTGGCTTTTCTCCTTTCTTTCTTCTTTTCTTTTTTCTCCAAGCCCTAAGCGTTCTTAAATTTACCAAAAACTGATTTAGGTTCTGTTTTTACCTCAATAAACCCCTAAAATCGAATTAGGAAATAACTTAGAGAAAAGACTACTTTGTCCTTCCCTAAATCCGGATTGGAACTTCCCTCAATCCAACAGCCCAACTTCCGAAAGGCATATCTCACTCATACGATGTCGAAATTGTGTAATCTCGGCGGCGTTGGAAAATGTCTCCAAGGGATTTCAAACCAAATCAAGATCTGCTACTAACTAATCCTGAGCTAGGATTTATGGTCGTTTGAAAATGGTCAAAACTCACTTTCTTAACTTAGACAAAATTTCCAGATTTCCTTATTCTTTCCAAAAATCAATATTTTCATATTTTAAACTCTTTATAGTCGTTTCTAGGTGCGAGATGTTACACGCCCTTTAAAAACACTGGTTGTAACTGCCTCCTGAGATAGAAGGTTCCAAACTTAAGTCCAGATTTAGAACAAAGGAGACTAAATTCTCTTTCACATGTAATGCTACTGACAGTTTTAGAATTTTCTATCCTATTTAGATCCTGAAATTGATGCAGATAAGATCAGTCTGGTACATCATATTGTTTTTTACCTTTCTAAGAAATGCAGTACAACTATAATACAAAAATAGCAATTCAACCATTGCAATGATGCCTCAATCCTGAATTAGTTGGGTTTTGCATATAAATTCTCTAACATCAATTTTATTCCATCTTCCACCAAAAAAAATTGATAACTAAATAATTGTACAATGAAACAAACTAGAGATATTGGTGGTTTTCAATATCGATTGTGGTTTTCGGTCCATTCCACCATCATGAAAATCTACCAACCACGTAGATATGGATAATCGAGTTCACCAAAAACATAAGAAAATGAAAAGAAATCACTTGATACTTCTCCTCTTGGAAGATATTGAACTTCATCACTGGTGATTTTTATCAATAAATAAAGACAATCCATCGACGAATCAAAAAAATAATCAAAAACTTTGTTTCCATGGCCTTAATTTTGATAGATGAACTTCTTAGAGTCCTTCTAATTTTCCAGAAACACATTTTTATCCCACACTGCCTAGAAGAGAGATTTTATGTAACCAAGTAACCAATAAAATAGCCCGGCATAACACATAGAAAATCATACCTTTCTCGGCCTTTTGGCTAAGATCAAGTGTAGTATCTGTTCTTATCAGTTTAATATCTGATATGTGCGTCATCGACTCACACGATATTAACTCTATTTTTTTAAGGGGGGAGGTTCACCACGGTAGCTTGCTATTGGGGCCTTCATGAGTCGCCTTGGTGTTGCACTACTGCCTCTGCCTGGCTCACCCCACAATTCTAGTTATAAAAACCTTTGATTTCATAGAAGTACATAATTTTGGGCAGTTTGATACGTCAGAGCTCTCTATGCCATTCCAAGTTGCACATTTTAATTAAAATCAGATATGAACTAATATTAGCTATAACTTATAAAATCTTGACAATTAGACTAATGTTTCAACCTACCATTTGGCACCTTTTTATTTCAGTAAGATGTACTGTACTACTACTAAAGATAAATGGTGATGCGAAGAGAGCTTTAGTGAACAACTAACGCTACACAACATTTATAACAGAAAAGAATGACGGATAACAAAAAAGAAGAAGGCATAGATGCCAGAATTGTCAAACTACTTTTGATATGAAAAAATATTTTGAATAGTGATAGACTTGAAGTGGATATCAACAAGAGTGATGCCTTTCTACTTTTGTTTAAGAAGAAAGTTCATGAATATTGACAGTCTTGTGAAGTGGATATCAACAAGATCTTACACAATTATGTATTTATTTTGCTTTTCCTTCTAGTTTTAACGATTAAAGTCGTAATGATATGTGTATTGTATTATTTCTTTCTTTCTTGTGTGTCTTTATGATATCTCTTAAGTTTAATTTTTATACCAACTTCTGATTGGTGTGAGTTTATAATTTCTTTTAGTTCAAATTAGTATTTTAAAATGCTAGAGTATATCCTAAAGAGATATCACTTCCTCACGAATTTATCTTAATTATGGTTGAAATTCTCCTCAAGTATAAATCAAATTTAAAATTTATAATTATTTTCTCTTGGTTCAAATTAGTAACTTAATTATGTTGAAAAATCTGCTAATTACTAATCAAATTTTAAAATTTATAATTGATGGTTTAAAAGAAATAAATCTTAATGATTAAAATATATTCTTTATTGGTGTTTGCTATGTAAGTTATAAAAACTATCGAGAAAAATGCATGCGTGAAAACTTTAAAAAAATTATATACGCAAAAAAGAAATATTTATATTATTTAAAATAATTAAGACATGATCATTGTTATAGATATTATAAAGAAATGATTTAACTTACTTTTTCATCATAAGATCAAGTTGTATTAATTTCATATGACTCCATAATAATTGTTTATTATATTTCTATAAAATTAAATTCATTAAACATAATTACGATTCATATTTGGTTAGAGAAGGGTGGAAAAGATCGAAATGAATAAAGTCAAATTTAATTATGCAAATAAATGATATAAAGTATTAACTAATATTAGTTTGTTTTATACAGAGGAAATTATAAATTAGTGATAGACTTATCACAAAAATTTAAAATAAGAAGATGATGTATGTATATGTAGTCAAATATATATTGTATGGATAAATACATGCGTAGAAATTTCCACGGTTAAAACATTACTCGCTAGTTAATTGTAACCATTACTTATTGACAATAAAAGTATATTAATTATAATAAACAAACTCAATATATCTAATATATTCTTCAAAGTCTATTTATTTGGTTGGTTGCCACAGTGTAATTACACATGTCCTGTTTGGATGCCACAGTGTAATTACACATGTTCTGTTTGGATGGACAATTGCAATCATAAAATTATAATAAATTTTAAAAATAAAAATTAATTATTTAAAATTTATACTAGACAAATAAAAAACTTTATAAATGACATTAAATTAAATATTTAAAATATATATTCTTGTTTGAAAATATATTAATTAATAAACATATTTTCTGTAACTAATATTATGAAAAAATAATTGATTTATATTTTTTCAAATTAATATATTTCAATTGAATTGATCGTAACAACTAAAAATATGAAGTTTCTACGAACATTGTGAAATGCATGTTTGATAAAAAGAATAATATATAAATAAAATGTCATAAATTATTAAATGTTTGACAAAAATATATTCTATCAAGTCTAATTAAAAATCACGTGCAATGTAAATTCAATATTACTAAAACAAATGAAACTGAAAATATAACATAGGTTATAAATTCAAAACAAAAAATTTAACATAATACTCTTATAACAAATTTCAACATAGCAATAAATATGATTTATTTTTATTTTTTATTAATAAAGAAAACATAAGTCTATAACCTTACTTAACAATAAATTTTAATTTAAAAATTAGAATACTAATAAAATTATGCTAATGAGAAAATAAGCATGGCATGAAGAAATAGATAATACAAGAAAATTACATAGAATCACGTAAAGTAAGGTTGAGAATAAGAAGAAAATGAAATATAATAATATAAAATAAAAAATAAACTTTTGCAAATTTTTAGAATAATAAAAATAAAAAAAGAACTTAAAATAATAGAAGTAAAAAAAATTAAAACAAAAAAATAAAAATAGAAATAAAAAAAAGAAATTAAAAAGTAATCAGGTGGTAATTACACCATGTAATTACCAGCAATTAACAGTCTCTGCCTGTGAATTGTAGAGTGTAATTACTCCCTACAAATTACACCAATTACCTGCTGACCAAGTAATTACTTGTCCTTCCAAACAAGACATCGACAGTGTAATTACACCAATTACACCAAATCCAATTACCAGGGTGTCCTTCCAAACAGGCCCTTAGTGTATTATTTATATTTTGCATGATCTCGCGAAGCGGGAATGAGTTCACTTGTGTAAAATTAAAAAACAAATATTATTATCATTCTTAGTGTTGAAGTAACTTTTTTTTAGTACTAGTATTGATTTGATTTTAATTTGAGTTTTGTTAGAGTTACTAATATCTATGGAATATAATCTTTATTGGACCATTCAAAATTCAAGTCTCAAAAACTAGAAATAATATGATAAAAGATAAAAACTATGAAAAAGTATAAGAAATATTTTTTAAAATAATACAAAGTAAATACTTTTATGTATAAAAAATTATATATATAATCACTATAACAAATATGATATATAGCTACGACATAAAAATCATCATTAATTGTTCACTTTTAGTGACAAAAATTACTTTTCATGCTTAAATATACAAGGAAGATACTTTTAGTGACAAAACATAATAGTTCGTAGCAAAGTTTTGTCCACTAAAGTTTCCCACCAAAAAATGTATTGGCGCCATTTATTGAGTATTGTAGTCACAAATTTAAAGTTACCAGTGACACATTATTTCATCACTAATGATTTTTTTAATTTGTGACAAATTATTTTTTGTCTTAAAATTAATTAATTTTTAGACACAAAATAATTTCATCTCAAAAATATGTTGATACAATAGTGACAAATTAGAGCTTGTAGTTAAATATTCTAAATTTTAGCTATAAAAATTTAGATTTAACTGTGGCATTTATTTTCGTCACTAATAATATAAACAATTGGTGACAATCATTTTATTGTCTCTAATCAACCTACGATTTAGTGACAACAAAAAATTGTCACAAAATATGTAAGGTATGAAATAGCGACGACTTAGAATTTGTAGTTGAATAATTCAACTAATTGCTACAAAAAAGTTCATAGCTATATACAAAATTTTCTTTGGGTACGATTGTTCATAATTAGAGAATTTCATAAATGGTCCCTCAACTATTGAAGTAGATATAAAATAGTCCTATAACTATACATTTATCACATTTAGTCCTTTAACTATTCAAAATGTTAACAAATTTGGTCCCTTAATTATATACTTACCATCTTTAGTCCCTTGACTATGCATTTACTAGTTTTAGTCCTTTAAGTATTCAAAAATTTATCATGTATGGTCTCTTGACTATTTTTATACAAATAGAACTCATGTCTATGTGAAATTAAGTCTTCAACCCATTTTTCAGTTGTTTTTTTTTCCCACTACTTTTTCTTCAAATTACTCTTAAGAAAAGAACCTTACCTCAATGATTCAAAATAAAATTCACGGTAAAAGAAGATACAAGTCCTAATTTTTATTCAATGGAGGATGAAATGAAATATTTATTGCTACTAATGACTTGAGAATACTAAAATTTATTATAAAAAGAAAAATGTTATTACTCATTAGTTGTAGAAAGAAATTTATTTATATTTAATAGAAATGAATTTCCTGCAATTAAAAAAAAATTACTCTCATATTTTGATTCCAAATCTTGTACTCCAACGACTTTATTAACGGGAATTTATTTAATTTCTTAGAAGCTGAAATTTATAAAATGGTAGATTTTCCACCATTTTTAAGATTATTTTTATTTTGAAATATATCAATTTTATTATTTTGTTCATTTCATTTTACGTAGAGAAATTGAATAATAAGATCAAATCTTTTATTTATTATATATGAAAAACGGAAAAAAAAAAATTGCGCTGATAATTGTTAACCACAAAAGAAGGGAATGTTTTATTTTTTGTTGGTAACTGTACAAACTAAGTCGATCTATTTGCTTCTTTCTAAAAATACATACATAATTAGTAGTGGATCCTTTTACGTAGAGCAACTCTATAGAGATAATATCGACTTACAACCTTAGACTACAGAGATGCAAAATATTTCATGGATTCTATTACCTTTTTCATTCGTGTCGAAATTGAAATAAACTAAAAAAAAATGAAAGCACAAATGAAAGAAATTAACCAACTAAGATTTTGAATATATTATCATAAAGTACTATCGTTGTGGGTATCAATATTTTTTTAAAATTTGATTTACCGATCGAAGCGAACCGGGTATTAGTATTTCTTTTAATAAAGTCGAAAGTTTAATTTTATGTAACTTTATAATTATACTGGATAATTTTTAATTTAAAATAGTGTATAGACTTGTATATACGTGTATAATAGTGTATAAAAGGTGCTTATATACACTTTTATATTGTTATATATAATTAAACAACTCATACACAAATCAATTGTAGATAATTTTTAAATAATGTACCTGCACTTTATAAGTGTGTATAAACATTGATTATATAAAATTATAATATAGGACACCTTTCAATCATCACGAGTGTTGACACCCAATTTTGATCATATGCAATTCGTATTAATTATCAAGCTTCTTCAATTTGAAATCATTATT